CACACTCTGAACTCTACTCATGATCACAAAAGTGAGCAGTGATGTCTCTCTCCCTTTAGTAATCACTGCCAGTTACAAGAGACACACAGATCTACAGCGTGTATGTATGCCTGTGTGTGTGTGTGTGTGTGTGTGTGTGTGTCTGGCGGCACACAGCCGATAATGTCTCACTGTGTGTCTTACTCACATTGTCCATAGTATCATCATTAATCATTTCTCCTCCGCCCAGACATGGCCATCAGTTATTGAGAGGAGCAATAATTTGGAATTGATTTAGTCCCCACACACAGAGCCTGCCTCAGAATATAAACCGCTCCTTTGGCAAGACAGAAGAATGAAAGCTATATAAAGGGCTGTCAGCATCCAAGGCTCTAGCATTCTGCAAATATACCCAAGAGCTTTCCATTTAGTTTCCTTTCTCTCCATCTATTCCTGCCCCTCTTTTTTTGGCAGACTATAAGCCAAATGCTCGTGCCTAGTGCACTTCCTTGTTTGTGAGCCAGGTTGGAAAGAGAGGAGGAGGAGAGGAGAGAACCTGATGGACAGAAACTTTACTCCCCTCTTTGTGTTAACAAGAATACAGATTTTTAAAGGGGGGATCGCGAGAGAGACAGTCACACACCTTGAAAGATAGTTAGAGACAATGAGAGGCTAAGAGAGACAGCTCAAAGCCGGGGAGCAAACTACAAAGAATCTATAAATAGGGAAAAGATTGACACATGAAGGTTCAGAGACCCTTTTAAAGCTTTTTCTTTTCTTCTTTTTTCTTTGAGACTTCTCCATCGATTTTAACCCTGCATCAGTCAACATCAAGATATAGTTTTAGACAGGAAACAAAAGAAAAAGTATCAGGTATGATTGTGTTCAAGCCTCCTGCTGATTTTGTGTATACAGTAAGAGTCTTCTGCTATTCTGTCCTCACAGCATGCTTGAAAATAAGCAAAATTACCCTTTTTCCCCCCCACATCCAAATTACACTCAGTTCTTGAAATCAATAACCCTCATCTCTATGCCCCTTTCCGATCATTAGCTATGACTATATTCTCCCTCTGCCTCCCCCTGTGCAGTCAAACACTAAACACCTTACAAGCCGTCATCTGTCTTTTTTATTCCCATTAAAACACATCCAGATTGTTGTGGAGTCAAAACATCAATGGACATTTGCATTTAAACCGGCGAACATTTTCACAATGATAATTTAAGTTCATGGCAAAATCTGGGCTGCAGATTCCCGTTTTATGCAGCGTCATTGTGTGAAGTGCGGGCTGGAAGAAAATAAACGCGTTAAGGCGTCTTGGGAGTGCTGGTATTTGCGGCAATTTACATGAAATGGTGCAGCAAATGGACGTGCGTCTTTGGAAGGGGAGAGAAAGCTTATATTAGCTTGAATTTCTTTGAATTATTGGATTTTTCTGGCTTTCATCTTACAGTAGCCTAATGCAGGTTTATAAGGCTGATGACTCTCTGTGTGGAATTCTCTGTGCTTTCCCCAGTGTCAAAAGACATGCAGCCTATCTTAATTTATGATTTGAATTCTGCTGCAAGAATGAATTCTGATGGTTATCTGTCATATTAGCCCAGAAATGAACTGATAGCCTGTCCTGAGAGTATCTAGCTTAGTGTTCAGTATCAGCGGTGATAGGATTTACCGCCTCATAACCTCTGTCATCATACTGTAAAGCAGGTTGTCACAAGAGATTGATGCATTATGTCCATTATCATTAGTAGTTGGGGCTATAATGATTAAATAAGGATGCATACTGGAGATGCTCTCATACCCATCAAGAAACATCCTCGCTGTGGTTACCGACATGACTTCCTGCTCCGTGTGAGCAGAGGATGACAGGCAAACAGGCCAGTATGGTGTGTTGTTCTACATCTAATCCCTGCATTTCTTCCCATGAAATCAAACACTTCCTAAATTTGTTTAAAACAACGCGTCTCTCACAGAACAGTTTCTTTGAGCTTGTACACTCTTACTGAGCACCATCATGAGGTTACCCAAAAGATTCATGGCAACTTCACTGCATCTGCAAGCATGAAATGAATAATTGAAAGAGAGCATATTGTGTGAGGGGATTTTAGTTTGAACCCACTCTGGGGAATAGAGTGATCAGAAAGGTGTGACTACATTTTTGCTACAAGGAACAATTTTACCTCATACACTGCTTTTAAGTCCATATTCAGTTATTCTGCTTATTCACCTCTCCCTATCCTGTTGGTACGTTCCATCCTATTTTCTTTCTCTATATATTCATCTCACTCTTGTCTGCAGCTTTTATGTGTTAACAGGTGTGTGTGTGTGTGTGTGTGTGTGTGTGTGTGTGTGTGTGTGTGTGTGTGTGTGTGTGTGTGTGTGTGTGTGTATGGCAGGAGTCCGGTGGAGGCTGAAAACCATGTGGGCGAGAAAAGATGAGGTGACATCTGGTAACAGGCTGACAGCCCCACAGTGAGATGCAGCACTTTCATCTCTGACGTCTCAACCTCCTCTGCTCACCGTCGTGAACTTGTAATAACGGTACGCTATACTGGTCACATCCACTAAAATATTCAGGAGATGCAAAATATTGATGAGATTTCTGTACAACTTGTCGTCATTGCATTCACAAAAAGTCGACGTTTTTAGTGAATAGGTCAAATAAACAAAGGCACAGTAATTAGATTGAAGAACTTAATACATACATATGTTATCAAAATGCAATTAAATACCAGAATACTCAGTGTAGCTTGATTTGACTATCACTTACTGAATATGACCTTATTTGCATTAAACTAATCAGTAAATTCTGTTTACATGCTGGTGTTCAGTTCAGAATAGGGTTTTAAGATAGTTTATATCAGAATATTCATTAAAATATACTCGGCTTGAGCTCCACTGGGTTTCAAGCTGATGTCTCTCCCTGATCAAGCAGGAGAGCCAATTATAATGTGTAATCTAGATATTAA